GAGAAAAATAATCAGAGAACGGAGTAACGATACAATGAATTATGCAGTAAACACAGACCTGTCTGAGTCATTACTTAGAGTTTGCCCATTTGACACATTACTGCGGTACATCGGCAAATCACTTCTGTTTATTTTGGCTGCAGAGCGGTGAACGAAAGGGGCTGAAAAATTGAACGCTGAATAAACACGGGGAGCGCGGAGCCAAAGAAATGTTCGTGCACGAAGAACACTTTCACAGTCTTGAAAGAGGGAAGAGGTCTGTTAACGGCGCGTACGAGCAGTAATCCATTTGAAATAATCAACCGGAATTCGTTCACTAATTAATTGTTGTTAAATGTGCCCCATTGTTAATCAACATTGGTCCAATTATACAGTAAAATTACATTAGCAGTCAATTTGGTGTGGAGCAAACGCCGTCACCATCACAAGTAGTCCGACTAGTTCCCATGGAAACTCTTATTGAGGCCAAGTTAGTAAATTTAGAATCTTTCATGTCATCTGTGTGATGCAATCAGTCGCTCTACATGTGCTCAGACAGAGAGAGAGAGGGAGAGAGAGAGGGGAGAGAACAACCGCACATTTAAAATATGTCAAAGATTTGAATGTGTGCATATCTCAAATTAATGATCACACACATATATGACACTACTAGTTAATTTGTGAAATAATCAGATTAGACACTTTAATGGTTTTTAAATGTGCAGAATGACGGGCCCTGTATATTCATTAACCATTCCTCATTAATAATCACATTCCCTTCTTATTGCTCTGATACACACGTCCTCATTGAAACACACTGACGGAAACACTTTCTATTTCACGGAGCATCTGTTCCTTAAAATACCACCTCAACACCCAGTGTGTGTTTGTTGAGACTTCGACAACGCCGTCCAACGCCTGGTTTGTGAAAATCGTCCACTTTGTCTCTATTTGAGTGCGTAAAAGACACATCTGTCACAACTGTCCCGCTTATACATTCGGGTCCAGTGACCTGTGAATCACTGCAGTTCTAATAGGCCGACTTCAGCTCCATGTTAAGTGCACTGACAGAGAGGTGTTATCGATCTCCTGATCGCACTGTGTAAATGAGAGTGACTTCTCTGACAGAAGTGTGTGTGTGTGTGGTTTTTTTTTTTTTCCAGTTTTTTTTCTTGCATGTGTGATGTGCAGCACCTTGGCAGCCAAGCATCTGACAGCCTCCTTCGTCTGTGCTGTACTGTCTCCTGCAGCAGGGCTTAGACTGGGCTGGGATTCAGCTGGCTGTTTGGGGACCGGTTTACTCTGCTTCTCACCACCTGCACACAGCACAAAGAAACACTGTAGGCAACGCTGCCATTTATTCTGGATAGATGTGGGAGCACGGTAGTGAGCGGCAGTGAAGTCTACGAGGAAACACAATTACACCGCCGCAATTAATTACTACATCTGTAAGCAAGACTGGGAAGTATCACATGAAGCCAAAGCACATCAGCTGCTGTGTTGGCTCTGTACTGATTTAGTTTTACCGTAAAAATTTTCCGAGAGATTTTGAGGCATCTGGCATAGTTGTATTTTATTGAAAGTTTAACTTTCAGGCTAGCGTTGCGCTGCTAACATAGTTGCATACTCAGTGGCTTAAAGTTTATTATTATATTTAGAAAATACTTATGCAGCAGCCATTCAAACAGGCCAATTATTTGGTGGCCATTTTTGTTTTTCTCCCAGCGTGGCAGTGTTATATAAAAGTTTCCAGAATCATCCACACATCACAAGTAGGTACTCAGCATTTTTTTTTTGCACAATCTGTTAAATCTGGTTTAATGAGATGCTGTTTTCCATTTTCCTTGACAAAAGAACCATGTTAGTGCCACGTAGATGGGGGAAAAAATAACAATTGTGTTCCTTTATACAACTGCAATCAGCAGAGACACCGCAGGGGAGCACTTGAAAGAGGAGTACGTGACCTATTTACCAACTCATTTCCAAAAAGTGCTACTTCATCTGACAAAATTGTGATGTTTGTGAGAACTACTGGGGAATTTCGATTTCAACGTTCTCCTTGGTTTCTGCGTGGGCCCTTCAGATGAGATTAAACAAAAACATTTGAGTTTTTAAAGTGGGATTTGGATCTTACATTTAGGCGAAGTGGAGGTGTGTGAGAAGCTGGGACCTCCCAGCGGTGTCCGCGTGCTGTGACAACTCAGCATCACCAAACGCCATATGATGGCGGTCTTGCCAGATCCTGCGTTTCCTACAATTACAGCCCCGCGTCCGTCACAGCTGGTGGATTTTCTCAGGACCTCCTCCAGACGTGTAAAGAGCCAATCCCGCCCGACAAACGAGGTGTCAGCAGTGATGCCGGGGACTTCAAACAGCAGCGGTTTCAGCATGATGTCAGCATGTCTGAAGGCCACTAATCTCCCTGCACAGATGGGATAAAAGATTCAGTGTGAACCTCAGGCGCTATAAATCAGCGACTCAGCCGGGAGAAATCACCACGGACAATTATTTTCACTTAATTGGCCTGAAAACCATTATTTATGTACAGATTATCTGTAATAAGTGACAGTGACATGCAGAACAATGGAATACCCTTACACCAGGTGGCAGCAGATGGCCATAAAACAAAAAAAAAACACTCAGCTGTGGAATATATTTGTGTATCTTTCTTCAATTTTTGCAAGTATATCAGTTATCAGTTATGTTCAACTAAACAAGCACAGGTTTTTCACTGAGTAAGTAACTAAGTAACTTGTGAGTAAAAGAAACTAGAAAAGCATCTATATTTTTGTGACATTTTTGATTGGTGGTGCACAGTGATATTTTGGAAATGTAAAATGTATGCCGTGGCTCTAAAACACATATAGACAACAGGTAATAAATTGATGATGTACTAACATCATAGTTTCATTTTTAGCTGCAGTACCGCTGCTGGCCACTCTTCTCCATAAATACTCAAAGAAAGTTTTTAGGCACATTAATTTTGGTGGAAATTTGGAGGTTATATTTAATTGTAGTATTAATTCTATTTTTTTGATGTTTAGGTTGAAGCCAATGAGGTCAGGCATGAGGCTCCGTGGACTATGATGTTTGCAGATGACATTGTACTCTACTGAAGTAGGGAGCAGGTGGAAGGGAATCTGGAGAGGTTCTAGGTTTGCTTTGAAGAAAAGAAGAATGAAGGTCGGCAGGCGCAACACTGATTACATGTTCAAACGAGAGTGGGGAAAGTGGAAGATGCAAGGAGTAGAGGGAGTAAAG